AATAAATAAAAAGTCAAGTTGGCAAACACGTGTTTTCGGTAATTCTTTGTCAGGCCAATACAGTTACATGAAGGAATGAAAATGCACAAAATTAACAGCGTTTATAGGTGTCACAAGGGCTATTAAGTCATCAACACTCACCTTCTCCACGCTGCCCACATGACGAGGTCGGTGGGTTTTAGTCCTTAGAGCCAGGGGAGGGGATAAGAGAGTCTTTGATTGATGTTCATGGACTGAGTACACGGAGTGCCCATCACTGTAATTAGGGATTTGAGGCGGCATGTCGTCTTTACATGAGGTTGGCGTAGGCCACGGCAGGGAGAGCGCTTGTGTCAGGGTTTTCTGACAGCATAACACCGGATTCGCTAGCCGTATAGCTATGGCCTCGGCCGTTGCTAGTATCCGTTGGCGTAGGCCTTTAGAGAAGCATGTTGGTGTCCGGTAGACAAACTGAAATGCTTTCTTGGCATCGACTCGGTGATCCGTATCGATTAAATATGCGAGAATAGAACTCGAAATGGACCGGGTCTTACCTCTGTCTAGCCAGGCGGGCATATATTCACGCGCCCTCTTTACCAGGCGTCTCGTTGTGCGGCCGATGTATCCTGCTCCACAGGAGCAAGTGAATGAATAAATGCACATTGATGTGGCCTCCAGCGGTAGTCTGTCTTTACCTCCCAAACGTAGTAGGATAGAGTTTGTGAAGCCTACGCGTAAAGTCGCCGCGGGGAATGCCCTCGTGCAAGCTGTAGTTAAGCGCCGTCTGACTAGTTCGCTCTCTGCGTCTCCTGCAAAGGCAATCTTATGAATACCTCTTTCTCTTCCGCAGTCGCTAGCCGTATAGCCACTGCCTCAACCGCTGCTAGTATCCGTTGGCATAGGCCATTATAGAAGCTTATTGATGTCCTATAGACAACCTGAAATGCTTCTTTGGCATCGACTCGATGTTCCGTATCGATCAGACGTGCGAGAATAGAACTCGAAATCGATCGCGTCTCTCCTCTATCTAACCAGGCGGGCACATGTTCATGCACCCTCTTTACCAAGCGTCTCTTTTTACGGCACTTTATACGTCAATGCATGAGGCGCCAGCAACTCAAGGGAAAAGGTATTTCCAGTGTTACGGCCGCTCGGGCACCAAGACCAACCACCTGGCGAACTCTCCCATACGTGAATGATGTATCTGAACTAGTCGAAAGACAATTAAAAAAGTACCAGATACATGTAGCACACCAGCCGGCAACCACCTTACGCACAGAGCTTGTACAGCCTAAGGACAGGGTTAGCTACCTCGAAAGAAAAGGCGTTCTCTACAAAATCCCATGTTCTAGTTGTGATGCCGTCTATTGTGGCCAAACTGGGAAATCCGTCTTAACTCGTATACATGAACATCAGTTAGCGGTAAAGAAAAGCAACTATTTATCCCAGGTGACTATGCACGCACTAGACACTGGGCACACATTTGCATGGGAAAACACTCGCATTGTTGGCGCCTGCCCAATAAAGAAATGCCTCGAATTCCTGGAGGCAATGCACTCAGATAAGGCATGCATCAACTGGAATATCGATCTAGATGCCACATATTAAATCGTTAAGGACAGACTCAAACTGGCTTAAACAATCCCGCGAAGATGACCTTAATCAATCACATAATTTTTTTGTCGGACTCGGTCTAGGAGTTAATTGTTTTTGCACGCCCGTTGTCTAAAGACGAGCTGGAGAACCAGTCTCATAAATTTACTTAATAAAGTTTACCGTTTCCCGAAGAATTACATCTTTCTAATTATATCTCTTGAAATGCCTGTTTTTCAATTTATATATAAATATATGCATGTCAAGTGGGCGTTTGACCCCCACTGTTGTGGTTAGGATCTCACTCGATCCCATTCTGCCCGCCCGCCAGCTTGCTACTGGCGACAACGAACGCTGTTTCATAGGACACATACCACAGTGAGGGTCAAACGCCCACTTGACATGCTTATATACCTCACTTCATAGGGCCTATGACGTACTGATGATCAGTAACGACCGTGAAACAGCTGTCTGCGTCTGGCCTGTTGCACTCTTAGCAAGCTGCTCATATATATACAGTAGATGTGCTAACTCATGAAATGTCAACCAAAATTTCGAAATGCGTTCTCGTTTCGAAAAGATAAATTAAGTAGTGTTGTAAAACTAACCATGGTGCAGCATAAATCTGTAATGATCCAGTTACCTCAGGGTGTCGGCTTTTGAAAGAACTTATTTTCGGCTACATGCAAGATCTATACTCTGCAACAAATGACTACATACGTAGCATGCAATTTTCTCATTGATTTTCGATGCCCTTGAAAATTCAATTATATTTCATGAGAAACATGCATACAAACATCCATTCTTGTACTTATTCGGTAGAAAATCACGTCTTCTTCCAACTCCATAGTCAAAAGAAGAGTATGATTCGGTTTTCAAACAGTTTCTAATTGTGAGATTTTAAATACCGTGAAATGGCCGTCCATAAATCGTCATGTATCTGCATTTACAAATGTGGCTTGTAAAGTTAACAATACTGCTCAAATCCACTGCAAAATGTTATGAACCTCATATGGTCTCCTCTTAACACCGTAGAGAAATGCATGGTTTTCCGTACACGGAAAATATACAGCTTGTAGTTTTGAAACCCTGAATGCAAGTGTAACAGCAGGTCGGGTTCAAAATTATTCGGGAATCAGAAATGTTTTTAAAAACCGAATTATACTCTTTTTCGGAGTACGAAATTGGCAGAAGACGTGATTTTCTACCGAATAAGTAAAAGAATGAATATTTTTATGCATGTTTTCCATGAAATATAATTTAATTTTCAAGGGCATCGAAAATCAATGAGAAAATTGCATGCTAATTAAGTAGTCATTTTTTGCAGAGTATAGATCTTGCATGCAGCCGAAAATAAGTTCTTTCAAAAGCCGACATCCTGAGGTAGCTGGATCATTATAGATTTATGCTGCATCGTGATTAGTTTTACAACACTACTTAATTTATCTTTTCGAAACGAGAACGCATTTCTAAATTTTGATTGGCATTTCATGAGTTAGCACATCTACTGTAATTATTGTGGGACTGAGGAGACGTTTGTACAATTAAAGACACTCTTTCTTCGAGTTTGAAACACGAAAAGGACATAAATTCTCACTTGCTCTAGACATTATACTTTCTGCCTGCATAAGTTAGGTGCTAGGGGGTGTCTTTCAGTTCGTCATACGGCGACGACGACGACGACGACGACGTGAGTTAGCACATCTACTGTGTGTAGGCTTATATGATCTTTTTATCTTCCTGGTGATAATTTTGAAATTTAGTCAACCAGAAGCAATGAATTCCAAATTCTGGTGTATGATTGTTCCAGTTGTAGTATTCGGCGCGCAATCATCGGCGAATAAGACGTCATAGACACTCGCTCTAGACCTCATACTTTCTGCCTGCATACGTTAGGTGCTAGGGGGTTTCTTTCAGTTCTTCATACGACGACGACGACGAGGATGATGATGATGGTGGTTGTGGTGGTGATGATGATTATTATTATTATCATTATCGAGAATGCTTCTCAGGACGACCGTCAATCGTTGGCGGGAAGCATGAGTGAGTTCACCCCATTTGTCATGCCTAATGCGTCCAAGACAGGCCCCTGACAAGCGACATCTCGTCGTCAAAAAACTCTCCGCCGTTCAATGTAGATACTTTCAGACATCGGAAACTTATCACTGTTTTTAATACTTTATCACGGCGCATGCTATCGGAAGTGTTTATAAAACCAGCAGAAGGGAGGGGGCAGAACGTAGTCCCTGCTCCTTCATGCGTTTTTCCTAGATTTTGCGGATGGCTAAGACCATGCATAAGTTGTTACAAGATGTTTCCGAAATCTGCATTATGTTTTCCGAAGGGTTCGTTTCTTCATGCGCAAATCCATTCGAAAGAATTGTACGCGAGCAAATACATTAATGGAGTTAACGATAATGATTGTTACCAGAAGGGTGTCACGCCAATAACGTGGAAAATTTCAGCGTCCATGGAGTCGTCTTTTACTATTGCCGGAGCAACGGACTCAGTCTGTGTAGAATATGTGAGCAACCGTATTTATAGACTTCGGTTGCACTTTAGTCGGCGCCAGGAGATTTCGTGCTGAACATTCTTCGCTCTGTAGCTACCATCTCCCACAGGCAGAAATAGCGGACGATTAAGGTCAGCATTTGGTTCCACTTGGATAGCCTTTCGGTGGCAGATTTGAGACGCACCGGAAATGCTCGGTCAAGCGCCCTAGGATCTGCGATTTTTACAACAGGCGGGTTAACCGTCCGATCTAGGGAGCTTTTGGAGGCAGTGGACTGCTTTGATGTTCGCTACGACGTTATTCCTTCCGGTGTGATCTTCACAACTTTGGATTTATTGTCCTGCGAATTAACCAGCAATTTTGCCCGGGCCTCATCATCAGAGGAATTCGGCTTTGCGTGGCTTAGTTCTATTTACGGAAATAGATCACGTGTGGCCGGTGAGTTGGACAGAAGACATTAGCCTTCCTCATCACTGTTGCTAATTCAGGTTCGGTGATGATGACGACACGCGAATCCCGAGATATTTTAGGCAGTTGTATGCAAAGTGTTCGAATTTTCTTACAGTTGGCATGAAAATCATCCTCTTCCTGGACTTGGCGCTCCCTAGCATTGAGGCTTCAACCTGTCAAACGACAAAGAGGTGGGACAAAAGAGGGACGAAAGGCCTAACCGCATGGACACCAAATTTTGGCGAGCGCTACCGTATGTCAAGAACGTTTCGGGAGCTGTCGGTCGCCTTCTGGCACTACTTGGGGTTGGAGTTGCACACAGTCCGGAGGCAACTATCAGGCGTCTTGAAATGAGACCGAAAGACCCGCTGTCACGGCAAGAAACGTCTGGAGTCATTTATGAGATATGGCGCAGTTACGGACAAAGCAACTACGTCGGAAAACCGGAAGACAGCTCCGAAGGGGAATGGCCGAACACGCTGCAGCGGTGCGGAGGAATGACGCTAGCTCTCAAGTTGCGGCTAATTCGACGGGTTCCGGCCACACATTCAAATTTGACGAGGCTGAAATTCTCGCAAGAGGTGACAACCGCGTGAGCCGGGAGCTGCTTGAGTCATGCTTTACTGGCCCCCAGTCTATTAACAAGTGCAATGATCTTCCCATTCAATACACCGTACTGAGACTTCGCCTAGGCGGAGTATTTGGTCACGCGGGACGCGCACAGGTGAACACTCTTCCCAATACCCGGCTCAGCGCGTCAGATGGTCGAGCAATCATCATACCAATATCCAACGCACGTGATGAAATTGCCGCAATTAACGACGCGAATGTCGGCCATCACGCCACGTGCAAGGATCCCTGATGAAGGGGTGGGAGCCGTGAATATTCATAGGTATGCGGTAGCATGGCTACTGCATCCTATAAATACTGCAGCCGCATATGCATGAACCACCCTTATCTGCTTTTGTCTCTGATGATGGATTCGATCAGGAATCCGAATCGTCAGGCTAAAAAAGCTCAAGTCCCAGCGATCGTGCCTCCTTCTTCAAAGAGATTATCTGTCCTCAGTTCCTCGTCACATATAGTCTTCGTACTCGGTACCTTACCCTAACCTCGCCTCCTGACCAGGAATTGGTGCAGCAACCGCCAGAAACGTGAGCGAGGACGCGTCCATTTTGTGGCCGCCCGGCTTTTAAAGCAAAAAGATAGCGGGACTGACTTATGTGGACGCCCAAGCGGGACATGAAAATAGGTAGGTCCTGCCCAAGTTATGAAGGCCGACCTGCGCATAATTCCGGAAGGCGCAAAATATTTTCGCTTCCCAACAGCAACAACGGCCTTCTCTAAACCTTAACTCTACAGTTAACGCTGACTTCTACCTTAATCTTAAACTTGATGCTGGCTTAGGTCACCGTTACCTTTAAATCTAGCCCTAAACCTAATCCATAATTTGACCCTAACCCTTGCCTTAATCTTAATTCTGATTACACCGGAAGTTGGCTCAAAGCCGCCCGTGTTGCAGGCGATCCCTGTTCTCATGTCCTGTTTAAACGTCCACATAAATCAGTCCTACCGAAAAGATGTTGGTGCGGAAGCGGATACGCGCTGCGCATAGTAGTAACCTGAAAAAGGACGTTAGAATTGCATCCAAGCCCGGTCTACCAGGCAACAGAATTATTGTCCACGCGGAAAGCAGCAATGTGCCCGTCTTGGTAACTGCCGTGAGAAGTGTGTGCAGGTATCCGTACAACTTGTCTTTCACACTGTCAGGACTGGTAGTGGGAGAGGAGGTATTTCTGGCTCTGCAGCGGTGTTCGATTCCGTCTTTCGTGAGTCCCTCTTAGGACTGGCAGAACTAGATGGTATGCAAGCAAAAATCATCACCATGAGCAGGGCATACTGTCGCCTCAAAACTGGGCAAAGCTCTATCTGATAAGAATTTATTCGAACTGATCGACATTTGATTCGACGTTCAGCGAGGCTGTATTCTGACGCACATTCTGTTCAACGACGCCGTCAGGTGGGTTCTATCCAGTTTTGACAGTGTCTAATTTGCACCTAGGCTTCGACTGACTGATGTCGACTACGCGAACGTTACTGCTCGTTTAACCCGAAGCCTTGGTACTCTACTATAAGCAATGCTGCAAATGAATGAGGCCGCTAAATCGGTTATTCACCCATAGACGCTGGAAAGAACAAAGTATTTTCGAGCATTTCTCAGACCAGGGACGAATACCACTCAGGATTATTTACTGCCGACTTAAAGTAGATAGTTTCAAGTACAGGTACATTTTCAAGTACCTTAGGCGGGCAGCTATCGAATGGACAGGGTACAGTTACTGACCGATCTCATGAAGTGTAGGTTGAAATTCTGAAATGTGTTTTCCATTGGGAAGGATTACTTAGATGCGGTTGTAATACTGATTACCTTGCGGCATAAACCTATAATATTTCAGACTCGGCAGGATGTCGGCTTTTGAATACACTGCTTTTCAAACTCCTGTACAAACCGTACTCGGTAAAAAATGACCACTTAAGTAGCATGCATTTTCCACATCGATCTTCGATGGTCTTGCAAATTCAAATATATTTTATACAAAGTCCGAACAAAAATATTCTTTCTTTCAGTCGTTCGATAGAGAACTACGTCCTCTTTATATTTTATACCCGAAGAAAAAATATAATAAGGTTTTGAAAAAGTTTTCTAATTTCCGAATAATTTGGAGTCTGATCAGTCGTTGCACTAGCGCTTAGTCAATTCAGTCTACAAGCTGTACGTGCTCCGCGCAATAAAAATAACATATTATTTTATGCCGTTAGAAATATATGATATAGAGTCAAAATATTTTACAATGGATGCAGACTATTTGTATTTTTCATGGGGAGCAGTGATAGACGGACAGGTTCGATGCTGTAGGAATGGACATTCCGCGGTCTTAAAATATCGCATAAATAAAAACGGTCTTAAAACCTAATTATATTTCTTCTTCGAGTATAAAATATAAAGAGGACGTGGTTCTCTATCGACCGACTGAAAGAAAGGATATTTTGTTCGGGATTTCAATAAAATATATTTGAATTTGCAAGACCTTCAAAGATCAATGGGAAAATGCATGCTACGTAAGTAGTCATTTTTTTACCGATTTCTGTTTGTACAGGAGTTTGGAAAGCAGTGTATTCAAAAGCCGACATCCTGTGGAGTCCGAAATATTATAGGCTTATCCCACAAGATAATAAGTATTACAACCGCATCTAAGTAATTCTTCCCAATTTCAAAATTTTAGCCAACATTTCATGAGATCGGTCACTCACTGTAAGAACGACATCATTTTCCGTATTTATTCTGCCCGACGGGTTTTCACAATCCTTAAAAGGTGTTTTTGGACCTGACGCGACATCTCCAGCCCACTAAGGTCCGCGTGTACCGGATGTCCATCCAGTCAGTCAAACATGGTTGTGAGGTTTGGGCTGTGCGCGCTGATTATGAGTGAAAATCAGAAGGAGTCAACTAGCGCTGCTTGGAAAACCATCCTTCCAGTGACGTACATCGACTTCTTTGCACATGAGACAGCCCGTACCCGCTGCGACAGTATCGCGAGGACATCTCAGATCGTCCACGAAAAACGACCGGAGGGTGCTCACGCGTTCTTTGCCATCCGCCTCATGAGTTCGGTTAAGTGTTGCCCTCGATCCGGCGCCGTCGAGGCGTCGAGGAAGAAGCCAACTCAATGCTGGCTGGACACATTTCACCAAAATATGTAGGCGGTTTTTTAATCTTGTTTATCAATCCATAGTCTCTTGAGGAGACAATGGGTCGAGTTTCCCAGAGTCGCTGTCGAAGCTCCTCAAGCGTGAAGATGTACAATCCGCAACATGATCGAGTTCAATTGCACCAAGCATGATCACACCTGTACCAAGTGAAAGTGCCATGAAGCATGTGGGGACTTTTTCCTCGTCGAATTGGAGCTGCACGGTCATAAGGTGATCGTTGTTGTCGTACAGGAGATAATATAGCGGTCGCACAATGCAGTTTTTGGTGCTTAGGTGGAGCTAACAGTTCCTCGCCTCCCCTAACTTGCATGCCCGCTCCGGGAAAAGGTATATACCGACCGGCTTCATTCAATTGTCCTTGACCATAGAAACAAGTCACGTCAAGAACCGCATAGAGCTGGCTGCCCTTCTGGTTTATTGACCTTTTGGTTATCTGAAGCGACCGAATACTACCGATGGTCGAAATTAGCAGTTTCACTGAGGCTGTTGGCTTTTTTTCCAATCACGTAAATTGCATTTAGTACTGAAATCACTTTCTAGGAGGCGTAAATCAACATTTTTAAGGCCCGTTATCTAGCCTTCTTGCAATGTGAGTGCAAATAGTTTTCTGATGAAAACGAATAGGCGAGTTCCAGGAAGCAGTTCAGAAGAACAAAAAGAAGAATGTGATGATAATGGTGGTGGTGGTGGCGGCGGCGGCAGCGGCAGCGGCAGCGGCAGTGGCGGTGATGGAGGAGGAGGAGGAGGAGGAGGAGGAGGAGGAGGAGGAGGAGTAGGAGGAGGACGAGGAGGAAGAAGGGAGGGGGAGGAAGAGGACGATGATGCAGTTTAGGAGAAGAAGAAGAAGAAGAAGAAGAAGAAGAAGAAGAAGAAGAAGAAGAAGAGGGAGGGAAGAGAGAATGATGATGATGATGATGATGATGATGATGATGATGATGATGATGATGATGATGATGATGATGATGATGATGATGATGATGATGATGATGATGATGATGATGATGATGATGATGATGACGCAGTCGTTCGACCAAGAAGGTTATCTGTCTGGCGTTCCGAATTCTCACGCGAACACATCATTAAAGACAGTCCCTGATAAGGGCAGCGGATTTGTAAGAAGCACTGGTTATATGAGTACAGCAGCCATGCAACCATGTGCCTACTGTGGATCGTATACCAGGCGATGACTGCTTGCTAGTCTGCACCCGAGTTGTAAATTTTCGTGTTTACCCCCATCAACGACTGCCACTGATTATGGACTTGAACGAGCATCCGAAACGTGCCGCCAGTAAACTCCTTATTACAGCGATCGCGTCTTGTTCTGAAAGTAAACAGCCTCATAGAGGTCACACCACGTCTTTCTACTCGTAACGGTGGTTGGAACGCGTCGAATTCAATATTACTAAGTAATGGGCTGAATTGTCATGAGAATGGGTGCATCAGTATCGGCTTCACTTTGTTTTCTCTGTCCCATGCATGAGCAGTTTTCCTGCTGAGAAGGGCTGAAGGGACGTGGACCTCCGGCTATTGCGAGTGCCGCACGTCAGCGGTAGACGCGTGCATCCGGCACTCTGTCCCAGTTATGGCCCAACACAACGCGTGCTCGGCGCGCATGCGGTTGAGCGGCGGATGCATACGCACACTGGGCCTTATGCCCGCCTCCCCCCCCCCTCCGCCTGAAACTACCCCTTAACCGCAAATTGGTTGTCCTGTCTGGTAGTTGGTCTACTTTGACTTCTGCGGCACGTGGTTTTTCTGTGAACGCCTGCCACATTATAAATTTCGTTTAACCGACGCGCACCTGCTCACCTGCATTCATGCCGCTGTGTGACCCTAGTCGCGTCTGCTTTTCATAATTTTCGTCTGATGCTTCTCGCGGCCCAAATTTCCATTCCCTCTCCCTCCCCCAACCAATCCTCTCCGTCCCATTATTTTACTGAGGCCTGTGCAGAGTTCTACCCTGGGTCCCATTCCAGGTGTGCATAGTGGTAGATAGGAACGTCATTATGCGGAGCACTGTGTTTTCATAGCAGTCCTTCGTCCAGCTCGCCTTGCGCCAAGCGGTCTTTCCATCTGCGCAGTTCCACCGCAATCAGTCTAGATTTCCACACTTTCGATATACCGGCCATTTGTTATGCGCTTCTAATGTAGTCTGTCGGCTTGTTTGGCTCCGGCGTGGGGATAAGAGATAAGGAAGGCCAGTTCCGGGGGCGACCTCATTATCCTGCCAGTCAGAGTGACTTGATGTCAAGCGCGCTAAAACTCACCTCGGCTAGATCGCAGTTGGTAGATAGGACCCGTGTTGCAGGTGGCGGGGGGTTGCTTACTGGGGCTATTTTGTGGGGCTCCATAATCGCGTGCGACCCATTTAGCTTCCTTTTTACGTTTGAGGTCAGAATTAGGGTTACGGTTAATGGTTTCCGATTTTCGGGTTAGGGTTATGCCTTTAGGCTTAGGTTTTCGGGTTACGGTTAGGGTTTGAGCGAACGATTAGGTTTCAATATTACGGTGAGGTCTTCTAGTTACGGCTGTGTCTAAGGGCTATGGGTGTGTTTACGATTTCGGTTAGGGTTGGGGTTAGGGTTGCCGTTAGGGCTAACGGTTAACGTTTAAGGTTGAGATTAGGGTTAGGGTTAGGGTTAAGGTCGCCATCCGCTTCCCCATTCCTGGCTACCAACTGCGATCTAGCCCTCTCCTCATTTATTCGGTTGTGGATTCGACTATTTCATGCCTGGAACGCCCTTAGGGATGCATCTATAATGCTCTGCCAGCCATTGATTGGACCGCGCGCGCGAGCAAGGTCATTACGCTTGCCTGATGATGTACCGCACGCTGATTGGCCAGCTGGTTTCACTCGTGCATTGCGCGGCCGGTTTGGCTTGGTGTGCTGTGCTGTGCTGTGCTATGAATGATTACCTTTTCCTTTCGCCTGAAATTATGACGCGACTCCATTTCTGTTCGCCACAACAATTTGCCTTTGCGTAGGGCCGCTGGATCACAATAGAGTAAACAGTTTTGATCTGGCAGGTGCATACAGAGACCGTCGAAGTAACCTCCAGACCTGCAGCCCCGACCGTTGGTTGGCTAATAACCCCTATAATTGTCACCTGTTTCATTGTTGTTGTCTCCTCTAACGGACTCGGAAGTTCAGAAAAATAAGCAAATGGTTCAGGTACTTGGTTAGTTTCCTTTTTAGCTCATACACAAATCTGGAGCTCGAGCATTCATCCCCATTCGGGAAATACTTATTTTAGCGATAAAAGTCTAGATATCCTACCAGAAATACGCCCGTAGGTTGTTTGGGCCATAATTAACAACCCTACAGTGATGTGATTGCTGTTGACTAATCAGAAGTTGGTAGAGGGCAATCACACCAGCGCTGCCAGGCAACAGAAGTTGAATCCTTATTGGATCCATTTTACTGCCCGTCTGAGTGTGTAACTTTATCTCTCTCTTGCCAAGGCGTTTTGATAAAAGATGCCCGTCAGGATTGCACTTTTACCCGAGCGCAGAAATGCTTGCTCCGGTTAGAATTACGAGGCAGGCACATGGCTCGGACGCGCAGCTAGAAGAAGTGGATGGGTGGGCACATTTATCACCGCGGTTTGGGTGGCTTAGTGAGGATTGTGAGAGATTCCGTGCCTTGGCAAGCCGAACAAGAAGACTCGCACACACACACAGTGAGCGTAATTGCATTCTGAGGCAAGCCCTGCTGTGGACGAATCACCCGCTACAGTCAGTTACTGGCACTGGTCCGAGACGGTAAACGACCGTGCACCAAGGAATCGCAAACTCTGGCATCTATTTGGGTTTGGATGAGGTGATTTTCTGAGAAGAAGTTGGGTTCCAGTCGTACGACCACTGCTCATCGTTAGTTCGAATGCCAGATGGGACTACAAAGCATTTATGAGGGCAGAAAGGTTAAGGTGGGTTGATGATTACGAGCGAATGTAAAATGGGATATCCCAACACCAGATCTTTGCAACCCCTGAAGCTTGAGCCCCCCCGCAGACAGGTCCAGGGGTTGCAAGAACCTGGGGTGGTTCGTGGCTGGCTGATGACGGCCAGCGAGCCAGAAATGGCCGTTCCAAAAAAGCACAAAGGGACAAGTGAGTCTCGTAACCGATTGGTGAGTGCCTATCCATCATTAATAACTGTAAAACTAATGGCGATGAGCATTAACGGAAGTCAAAAGAAGAAAAAGGCGTTCGCCGGGAGGGGTTTATTGGAGGTCCGACGTCTCGAGTGGTTGATTCGTCTACTCCATCTTCAGGGACTGGAAAATCTTTTGCCCGGCTCCCCTTATATGGCACACTTGGTTCATTGCGTGACCCAACAATGTCGCCTGTGTGGCTGCATCCAACCCACATGGCACCGTGACCTGAATCGCCCCCCTCGGCCGCAGAGATGACTGACGGCCCCGATTGTCCCGCGCCGTGACTGTCCCCCGTTAAGAAGGTTCGTAAAGTCAGCTAGGGGGGAGGCAAATTGATTTGGCGTTTGACAGAGCAGTCGGTGGACATCCAGGCTTCTTGCACATGCCTTGTTGTATGATCACCGCCCCGGCCCACAATCTCAACGGCGTCAAAGTTGAAGATGTGTGCCATTTGCGCGGCATGGGTTTCTACCTCCGACTTTGGGTCCAACCTTCGCACGGCTAACTTATGCTCGTGCTTTCGCGTTTGCAGCCGTCGGTCGGCCTCCCCGACGTAGTTGCAATTCCCGCAGCTGCATTAAAGTAGGTAGACAACAGCCGACAACTCCTGCTTAGGGATCGGGTTTTTGGCCACATCACTTGCCGGCGGATCGTTAAGTCGGGCCCGTGGGCAACGCCAATTCCGAGCGGCGCGAGGGATCTAGCCACGGCTTCAAAAACCCCTTTCATGCACGGAAGGCTTTGTCGCGACTTTGGCTGACGATGCTCTTCATTCCGCTTTCTTGGTTGCCGAAGAGCACGTTGCAAATGTTCAGTTACAACAGCAATTACCCACTGTAAGAAAAAACGAAGCTGTGTACGCAATCTATACCGACGATTGGAAACCCATCGCAGCACGCCAGCTGCCAAACTGGACGGGATAAAGCTCCTTTCAAGAACCCTTCAAGGCCAATGGCTATCCGCCAGCATTCGTTGAACAGATGCGAAGGTAATGAATTAACAACTATAATGGTGTCGTCAGGCTGTCAAATGAAATGCTCATTAGAAACCTAGGTCGGACCCACGCGTACTGCCGTGGCCTCGCGCCGAATTCCAGGGGATACTTACTTCCGTGTCCTAGCTTGAACTTTAATATTAACATCAACACCAACTTTGGCCCTGACAGTAACCCTCATAACCCTGGTAGTAACCCTCATCCCAGACTCCACTCATCCTGAAATTTA